ATAGTGTTAGCTTTAACTTTATCAACTCCTTGAGCTCGCCAATATAGCACTTTAATGAATCGTGATTGGGAATACACGGTCAGACAGTGGAATGTTACCATGGACGAGATAGTTGAGGGTTAGGTCGTTGGTCGACATACTGTGAAGAACAGTGTAGTCAGTCACTATAAAAAGTACGTGTTTAGTAGTTGTCGTGTCACATATTTTTATCCAAGTCCTGTGCTATGGGCGCACACCAGTCCCACTGGGCGCACACCAGCCCCACTGGGCGCACAACTGCGGTCGTCGGGGAAAGTGCATTCACGTAGACGGGATTATCCCGTCCACGTGAATGCACTTTCCCCGACGACCACGTCACAAACATGTCACGGTCAATAGGATATATTATAAATGAATACCACCACAAACCTCCCACCCCTTCATTAAACAATGTCGGAACAAAATTATTTTAAAAGATTCTGTCCAGAACATTACAAGGTTCAGAATGACGCCGTTACATCGAGCGGAAAATATGTGACAATCAGCATTCAATGGCTCGATAAAACAATACATTCACTCAAAATCGAAACCTCTGACAATATCGGCATGCTGCTCCTCACCCTTGAGACTGACCACAATCCCAAAGGAAAGGATTTCATCTTGAAGCGAATGGATGGTACATCGCTTGTCGACTTTGACACGAACGACGAAAGCATTACGATGGAAAATCTCGGGATCAATCCCGAATGGAAGCTTGTCATGGAGCCAGATCCAATCCCGTAGTTGGTGTTGTTGTTGTCTTCCCAGATAATACACATTTTATTCATAACGGTCCTAAGCGATATCTGACCGAATAGTTAGTATCTTAGTTTCCAGATAACTCAGAACTATAGTATTTGTAATGACTCTGAAATATACAGTATCATTATTCAAACAAATTTTCCAAATCGACAATTTGTACATGCTTGTGTTGGAAATGTACAATGTTCGAACCACCTTTTAAGACATGTGCTAATGGCAATTGTCGTAGACGAGTCTGAAGTTCACATATGTGTATACTGCGACACCCTAAACATGTCATACGTAGTCAGACCCCTTGTGCTATATATATATATATATATATATATATATATATCAATATACCAACTCATTTAAAAGATGTGTTCAAGTCACTCATTGTTGTGCTCAGGCTTGGACATAGAAATTAAAAATAGACCGTAGTAGTCATATGACAATAATGACATCAACCTAAATCATATTTTCAATAGAAATTGCTAAGTTGCTCTATAACGTGACTGGTAACGAAGACACTTGAGTTATGAATGAGCAACACCCAGATGCTGGGCTCGATCTTAAGAGTGACATTGCAAATATCCTGAACAATACTGTCTACCATGATCTGACAATTGTATGTGCCGATGGCGTCAAGGTGACAACATGTCGCAGCATCCTTGCAGGGAGATGTCTGTTTTTCCATGCAATGCTGTACGGCGGCATGTGTGAGGCCACATCAAATACCGTCAAGTTGAATGCCATTGAGTCACATGTGCTCCGCGACGTTCTCATCTTTGTGTTTACTGAAACTATACTGGATCTTCTAACTGACGCGATAGGGCTGTACTGCGCAGCAAACTTTCTGCTATTACCCAGACTTTCGGAGCTGGTGGTTAGCCATTTAGCAAGTCCCAATGATCTAGACGATGTAATGTTGCTACTTGAAACCGCGGGGAAGGTAGTACCCCGCGATGAACTCAACAGCAAGTTCTACAACGCCATTGTTAAATCACTGTGTATCCATGAATTATCCATCGGAAGTCTAAGCAATATGCCTATGGATATTCTGGAGATGGTTCTCACAACCCAGAACCCTAGTACCACACCCCAGCATACTCTGCTTCTGTGTGTGATCGATTGGGTATGGTGTCATTGTGATGGGGCTCCATCAGCGGTCGATCGCCATGCTGTTCTCAATGACATCGACCGAGGAGCAATTCACATATCTTGCACCCACAACAACTTCTTAAAACTAGTTGATCACATAGATCTCACGCGCATCAGCCCACGCCGTCTCAAAACTATTACAGGAGCCGTCAATGCGCTGGTGTCTATTGCGGTAGCTGTCGATCCCATAGACGTTATTGGGTCTAGAATCACCCAGATTGATGACGAGGAACTCTTTCCAAAAACACAACAAGAGATGACAGATATGCTGAATCGGCAAGAGGTGGATCTGACACCTCTTGAGGCAGATCTTCTACGGCTGTACAATGAGCTGCCTGTCCCAGCCGGTTGATTGAATAAGGCAGAGCGATGTATGTCGTTCGTGACGAGCCTGGACAATGGATGGCGGGTGATGGAGGTGCTGGTTACGGAATCGATGAATATATTGCGGATGCTTGATATCGACAAATACTACATGTTTGACATATGGGCATCTATTGTTCTCTCAGGGATTTATGGCCCACACTACTATGCGGATGACGGATTGTCACTTTTTCGCTATTTATGCAATTGTATAAGTGTGGATGGCGGCCGTTGTTTAATCCATCTGAGCATAGACCTCGACATAGTCAAAACCACGGTTAGAAAAACGCTGGATAACTTGTGGACAATTGCTGATGATGATGCAGTGTTGACGACTTGGTTTGTCCGAAATGACCTTAACATGCTGTTTGATTACTGCTGTATGGGTGACCAACACAACATTGCAAGAATATTTGCTAATATTGTGCAAAAGGGGTTTGGCCAGCTGCTTGGAATAGCCAATATCAGAGTTGAACAATATAACATCAATGGTGTACGGGTATTTATTACAGGATTCAGGCGATTCATCTTGCTGGCCGTTATACGTCGTATCAGTTTGGTAAATGATGCCACGATTGTTTCCCTATATAAGGGATCTCCGGTACTACATGACATTATATCGGAATTAAAACTATCTCAACTGCAGGGTATTTGAACTATGGTATATATTGTATAAATCTTAGCTAGGGTAGGAAGTGTCATTCTCAAATTCTTTACACAGTCTGCTATCTATAGTAAACCGAATAAATGAGCCGCATTCACTGCGTGACTTCTCTACAAAACTGCGCATTTCCAGTGCGTCTAATACCTTTGGGTCGCTTGTCAGTGCTACGGGAATAACAATATTCTTGAGATCTCTGCTACCATACAGCGCCTGACTAACAAACTCTGCTACGACCGAGGCACACCGCACTTCCAACACTCTTAAACGCCTCCATGGCCACCCTGCATCCAACACTGAATTTCCCGTGAGTATTGAACTTGGTGGAAGCTTGAGTTCCTCGAGGGATTGATAGTATCTTGCCAATATACCCAAGTGTTCTTCATCGATTAGGCTGCTTTCTCGTGATAGGTTATCCTCCACTCGTTTGAGGGATGGACATCTCCTAATAAGCACTTGAAAAAGAGTTTTGGCCATTCTCCAATCTGCATTGGACTTAATCGTGTGCACGACGAACAGCTCTTCCACAAGTAAAAGCTGGATAAATTTCTTGTGCAATATAGAAATTTGGCGTGCTAAATGGAAATTCACAATTTTAATCCTGCGCAACCGTGGCCAGTATGTAAACTGACAAAATCCAACGGGGTAGTTAACGGCCTCCAGCTCCACGGATTCAATAGAGATGCAATCTGCAAGTGCATGCTGACATACATCATTGAGCATGCCACTGATCTTGACTGTAGTCAGATATGGTTGGATAGATGCTATCAAATGTTTCAGACCCTCGTCTGTGTCCTTGTTAATGTCGGTTTTATTTTGCAGCCACAGACTGTTAACCGAGCGAATGTGGGGTGTGAGCTGATGAAGAAATATCGAATTTGTGGAGCCATGGATGCGGATGCGGAGCTCTTTGAGTGTTGTAATGCGCAAAATAATTAACAAGTCTGCTGCCATCGTGTCAGATGCATCTGTTGGTATCCATAGGACGGTGAGCTCGTTGTGGTATGCAAGGGCGTATTTCTGCGAGGCCACCAGTAGCGTTGCTAGGCGATGGACGTGGATGTTGTCAGTCTCTCTCTCAAATAGACATTTTATGCGATGGGTGGATATCAGAGGTCGAACTATATTGTAGAGTTGTTTCGACACCAATGATATGGAGAGCAGGTTTAAGTAGTCCTCTGTTGTATCACCCGTCAGATAACTGGTAATCTGCTGAATAGTTTCCGTGGCCAGCTCTCCCCAGTGGCAAACAGGTACTACTACCGAGGTGCTCGGGTCGAGTACTACTGATATGCGGCGATATTTTGTGGACATTGTGGTTGGGTTGTGGATTTGTTAGATCACGATAGCAGATGCGATTTTGACGTCGGGGAAAGTGCATTCACGTGGACGGGATTATCCCGTCCACGTGAATGCACTTTCCCCAACGCTCACGTCACACTCTCGGCTTACCTATGATATCATCAAAATATTAAAAATGATCTTGAACGGATATACCCAATAAACAAATTTGTTTTAAAACAGTCTCCGATGTTAATTCTACATGCTGCAGTCAAGGATGGCGACGCCATCCAAGTCCGAAAGTTGATTAATGCAACCTCACTGTTTAGCACAGACAGGAATGGAAATACACCAATACACATAGCACTCGACTACATCACTCATTCGACCACAATAATCCTCAACAGATGGGTGTTTTCACCTGAAACACTAAAGGAATGTATACACTCAACAGATATTCATACTACCACCCCTGAATCCGAACGGCGTGCTATTATACTCGAAGGGTGTTGCTACTATAGTGACCTATGATGGTGACAAAGAGGTAAAGTCTGTTGTGTGTTGACTGCTTTGTGTGCTAAATGACCTTGGCGAGGTCAAACCATGTAATGGTACACCCTCTCCTGGTGTCAGGAGTTTTCCGGAAAACTATTTTCCGGAGTATTATGATGTGTTTGGTGATGTTGATGTTTGCAACCTATCTTAAAATATATGTTATATTTATAGGATCTATCATCTCGGGATGATAGATCTAAATCAATACAATAAAAAAGATTGCCCTGAAGTGGATTCGAACCACTATCCAACTGAAACAGTATATGTGTAAATCAGTTGCTCTACCAATTTGAGCTACCAGAGCCAAATTATTAACATTGCAATGCCGTATAGTGCTTTCCACCAGAAATCTGTAGATTCATCAGTGTGACTTTAGATCTATGGATCGTTTCGGTGTGTGGATATTTCATTTACATTCTGCTCAGAGGCGACTGGACGTATATGCACACAATATGGGAAATATTCGAGTATATTTACTCCTCTCTTTGCACCATTTAGGCTTCTGTTTGTCGCTGAAGAGTGTTTTGGGGTTTAATGTTTTATGTCAGTTTTTATGTTAACACCGGGACTCAGTTTGGCTTGAACAAATACGGGAATTGTGATCAGCTCAGATTGTCATGTATAGAAACGTCGATCATGAAAACTACATCAGGCCCCCATATTTTCTGGCATGAAAAATGAAGGTTTTGGATCGGCAAGATACGTGAGAAGATGTCCCTTTCCGCAGAGTTTCTCCAGCCTAATGTGACCCATGCCGACGCCGCCATGGATTGTGATTTTGTTTGATAACAGCCGGCTGAAATTCCTGCTGTCGGAGATGGTGTTGACAAACAAATCATTCTTTCTCTGTTGTCAAAGAGGTCAGAGAGTGGACTGATCAGATATCACTCGAATAAATATCCTGTGTTAAAATATTACCCAGTATATGTAGTAGTAATATATCAACCTTCCAAAGCATGGGGTTGGTAATGACAATGTAATTGAATTACATTCTCCTCTCTTTAATATATTCTCTCAAATCAATGGTTAATTTGAAATTAGCATATAGTAGATAAAATGCCTAAATCCTATATTTTATTGTACTAACCAAAACCTGCTTTTATTACGAACTTAATCTTGTTTTTGTTTTTGTTATTCTAACCAAATTTCGCTTTTTCACTAACTAAATGCTGAATTTGTTTTTATACTACTAAGAGTATTTCATTTGGATTATGGACTAAATGAAATTTGAACTCCACCCGGGATACCGACGATATCCAACTTAATCCTTTTAGATGGTGTATGGCCACTTCCAGATCCATCAGGATCACTGCAATTGCTCTCTAGGTCAGCCTGCGAGGCGGTGCGATGGTGATCCTTCTTTGAATCGGCGTGCGGAGAGACAGGCTGTTTGGCGTGCAGAGGGAGAGGGACGGGCTGTTTGGCGCGCAGAGGATCGGGCTGTTTGGCATGCAGGGGGACGAGCTGTTTGGCGTGCAGAGGATCAGGCTGTTTGGCATGCAGAGGGAGAGGGACAGGCTGTTTGGCACGCAGAGTATCAGGCTGTTTGGCGTGCAGGGGGATGAGCGGTTTGGCGTGCAGAGGGAGAGGGACGAGCTGTTTGGTGTGTAGAGGGAAAGGGACAGGCTGTTTGACGTGCAGAGGGACAGGCGGAGGGACAGGCTGGTTGGCGTGCGGAGGGGCAGGTTGTTTGGTGTGCGGAGAGACAGGTTGTTTGGCGTGCGAAGGGCCGGGCGGAAGGACATCTTCACTGTTATTGATTTCGGATTTGATAGGTCTTCTCATACTCTTACAATTCAAGCATGTGCAATGGGATCGATCTGGATATATCTCGGAGTTAAGCCAGATTATATGTTTTTGGAAATTGCCTAAAATGTGATAACCAGCGTTTAGTTTATTTTTAAAGAAAACTAAAACATATGCAAATATAGACATACCAAACGAAATATGCTGCCTCGATGGATGGCCGTAAATCGACAGATAGGATTGACCAATATATGGCCCGGTTTTACGCTGGCGCTGGTACCATGAGTACCCCCTTGGGAGTTCCCGAAGAGTGCGTCCTAAACATCGTATACATAATGCGTTAAAAGCTATAGAATTATATAACAATCCATTCATAGGTATTATAGATATTTACGTGTATTATTCTCCCTACAATATATGGCGAGTATGTTTCTGAGACATGCCATTTTATCGGGATCGTGGTGCTCCACCACATCGGCGCATCTCGGACGCATGAACGTGCCATCCGAGTTGACAGGTGGTTCAATTGGGGTAGGGTGGGTGGATTGGTTAGGTTGTTTATGTCTGTGAGGTTTGACGAGCATTTTGTTTGATAAAGAGATATTGTAATTTAACCATATATTTATATCATTGCTTTTGTATATGTCAATAGTTTCGCATAGGTTTCTACCAACAGTGAGTCATTGATCACCTATCAGACGTTTTGATCATGTTAATCACATTGATGATGTACGTATGTAGTTTTAATATATGACTCAGTATCATCATGAATCAGGCATATTAATCTTCGTTTTTCTAGTTTGAGTAAGAGTCTTAAAGCTTTTAATATATGCGTAAACCTGCTTCATGCAAGAAATATGTTCTTCTTTCTCAACTGTATTTTAACCTGTAGACATACATACATATGCACTATCCTTAAGATGAATCGGGGATACTAGTTGTATGCTTTTGATATAAATTTGTGACTGTATATAAACATGCTCTTTGTACAATATAATATTGTATGCATTAATTCACTAGGAAAGTAAAATGATTGAGTATTAACAACCAAGTGATAAATAAATGAGTCTATCATATTATGACCTATGTGTTTGAGTGTTAGGCGATTGATGTTATCGCATAGTTAGTCCAACCCAAATTGATCACCTGATCATGTGCACAGATCAAGATCGTGCGCCACTCCCTGTTGGTGATAGTATGAAATAGGGTGTAGAGATGGCACTCACCGCCGTATCTCCCAGTGGTTCCGCATGTGTAGGCTCATTGACTGTAGTAGTATTTCTTGCTTGAGACTACGACTGAACATCAATTCTAATTCCGTCCATTCAATCTGCTTCCTCCTACTCAACGCTACTAATTGAGTGTACACTTTATTGGTTATCTCTAGATGTACGGAAACAGGCATTATTCCGACTAGTTCTAACCCTATAGTATGACCATAGTCGACCGACATACTACTATTCCCATTGAGTGTCCCGTCGTCATCGTCGACGGCGAATTCATACTCCTTCAGCGTCAACCGCATGATGCCCACATCCATGGCTTTGGCGAACGACAGATATGGGGATGCGACACAGATGAGTCTGCGGAATGCCCGCATGATCAGCTCTGGATACTGTCTCACCGCGAGGCGCTGCGTGGCGTCCGTGAGTATTTGGAAATGGTTTTCGGCATCCAAGTTGGAGTTATAATGGAAGTAAGGTTGATGGTCGTCATCGGGTCTGTACGTTTGGTTGGCAAACATGGTGGGGGGGGG